GAAGGAGATAGATCCATTAGGACCAGGACTAACGGCCAGGAAGGTTCTGTCATGCATTTGGTGGTACTGGAAGGGGATTATTTATTATGAGTTACTTCCATATGGCTAAATTCTGATCTCTACATCAACACATCTACAGTAACTCCCCAGAATCTTCGGGAGCTTGGTTGGGAAGTTTTAATGCATCCGGCATAAAGTCCGGACTTGGCACCAAGCGATTATCATCTTTTTCATGCATTGCAAAATTTCTTTAATGATAAAAAATTAGTATCTAGTTAGGATTGTGTTTTTTTTTTTTTTTTTTGGAAATAGAGAGCAGGACTTCTATGAGACATTGTGAAGTTACCTTTAAAATGGAACAAATCATACAACAAAACGATGCATATTTGGCCCAAAGCGGACATTCCGAAGCATGGTAAATAAAGTCCTACAGTTCGTATAAAAATAATGGATTTCTTTTCCCCCAACCTAATATTTTATTTGTACGTCAATCTAAAAGTATCGTATCAATATGTGACTTTTCTATGCACTCTTCAATAGGCACAGAAGACCCTTGAACTACCTATACGCCTTTTAATGATGAAATGCCTTCAATTGGTTTTCTATATATAGTCTACATTATATTATATTCTATGGATTGAACTGTGGTATAGAGAGAAGGCCTTTCCTATGTCTTTTACGCATTGAACGGAATTCTATAATTTAGTCTTATGTAGATATACAATATTCTAAAAAGGCCTGATGTCCCATTGCCCATCTCTGCTTTAACGTTTGTTCCCACATGTCTCGTTAAAATCCACATTAAGCATAGAACGATGGAGGATAACTGTTGCTGTTTGCCAAAATAGATGGACGTGCGACTAAAAATTTCCTAGCGAAATACTAAACATTTCAACTACATACACAATAATATACGATATTTACGAATAAACAAGCAAAATTGTATTCTACATTTTTCACAAGGAAAATGTGAACGACAACAACAACTACAACAGATATGAACAAATTGAAATTTTGTTAAATGATTAAATTCAACCTCAAATCCAACCTTAAAATCTCGCAAATGAACATTTCAAAGAAATCTGTTAACATTTCCTCTGTTTGGTGGGATTTGTTGAACTTTGTATGAATGAATTTGTGTAACATCATCTATCTCTGTGTGACTGTATGTATGTATGTGTGTGCGCTTGTCTGTGTGCAATACATTTCCATTTCTAAAGAAATGAAACCTAAACACATCTGAGTTTTGCATCAAAAATTGAAATGTTGAAAATCCATTTAATGTGCCACCAGAGTGGTGGATAGGTAAGAGACACGGGGGTAATTGAGGAAGTTCCTTGTCTGCTTACTGTCAGCCAGCCAGTCAGCCAGAGTCAAAATGAAAATCAGACATAAACAAATCTGTTTTTGACCTTAAGTTAAATTGAGAAAAGGATTTTTACATTTAACAAATTAAGTAAATAAGTCTCATTTGTTCATCAACATCATATCATATTTGCATACACAAGAACAAGTCACAAAGCACACAAACACACACACACAGACGAAGTCGGTGTGTAAGTGTTATTTTGAGAATAAACAAAACCAACACACACACACACTCATAGCTACAAGGATATAAAATAAATAACTTTACTTTGCATCATAACCAGACATTTTTGAAACAATTCATGGAAATTCTATTAAAACTGATTATCATATTGTAAATTATATCCTTTCAAATTGAAGTGTATTTACACACAGCCATACACGCACATATATTTGCATAGAAGAATGCTCATATACCACACAACGTCTGGTGTAACCAATACCTTCATTTGTCCTTAAATGTTAAGATATTTTGTAAATAACTTTAAGGTTTTTGGTTTGGTTTCTTGCTGATTGACATTCTTGCAGCAGATAAGAGTTTAAGGATATTTTGAGTGAATTTTAGGAATCTGTTTAAGGACATTATGAAGACTTTAAGGAATTACTGATTTTAAGGACAACAACAAGTCCCACCATAATATTAAATTATGAAGGGAAGATGTTTTATTTCCCGAGTGTTAAAAAATGTGACACCTTGATTGTTTATCCAATATTTTAGTTTTGAAGGCAAATGGTGACATAATGTAGGAAATCTTTTATGTCAGTCCTTGAGAACAAGGTGTTTCATAAAGCATTCATATATACAAAGTAGTAAGTGGCTAAACGCCAAATGATTAGTGACTGTATTAGAGTATTGAAATGGCAACAATAATTTTTTGATATTTTTGAAAATAAAAAAAAAACTAAGTACTCAAATGTGCCACAAACGACTTAAAAAAACTTCAATATTATAAGAACTGTCTTTTTATTTGTATCAATTTCACTCAAACGTTACTTTATCAGATATTAAGTATTTAAACAATGAAACGTAAACAAATAAACTATAAACAAATGTGTTTAATAACAATTCATTCGCCGTGGTCAGTGGTGTAATGTTATTATCAGTTATCAGTAAACAGTAACCAATCCAAGTATCTCTTACATTTACCTACCTCTGGCCATAGAGCGAATGTATTTTTTATAATATATTTTTTTATGCTTCAATATTTTCTGTTCACCTATTAATTGTGTCAATAGTGAAATGAGTTAGTTTCCTTATCAATTTATATTTATTGTGTCTTTGTTTTCCGTCTGCCCTTTTGCTTTGTAATCAAAACTATTGATCGTCAATATTATATTATTTTTCAATAACAATCCACTTCAAAGTGGAAAATAAACCGGAATCAGATTTTTGGATATATTCACAACATAGATTTATGATTAACAATTTTGTTACAAAGAAAACTTCCAATGTATATATGATAGGAAAACTATTATTAGATGACGGGTATTTGATAAGTTTGGAGTAAATTAATATTTCAAGAAACGTCATGGGAAATATTTTAGAAATGATTTGTACATTTTTCATATTAAATAGCACATTATTAAATTATACAAATAGCACATTCTACAATTAATATGCGATCGCATTCAATTTAAAATCATTTGAAATTGAAAATTAAAACATTGATTACTTTTGAGAAACACATTTAAGATTATAAGACCACATGAGTTGTCTTTTTATTTGATTTTTCATAATGTCCCAGTAAGTCACTTATCACTCCACTCCAAAAATATTCATCATCGACACCCTAAATAAAATGTTCGATTTCTTGAAGAGAATTACCGATTTAACATTTTCCAAACATAAATTGTTGAGACATATTTAGAAGATTTAATCTAATGATATTGCGAACGGATTGATCACAACTGCAAGTCCTTAGATGGACTAACCGTACAATAATTCGGGTATGGAATGGTCTCAATTTTGAACAATTATAACGTACATAAAAATGTAAATTGAGTAATATTATTTAAAATCTAGATTTTGAAAAACGATAGTAACGATAGTAAAAAACAATTATAATCTTTCGACTTTAGCCAAAAATTTCAGAATTCTACCCCATTTAGTGTTACCCTCCTCGGCGGCAGCTTTATCCAAATGTTCAGGTTCCTCAGGACCTTTGGGTCCGGCCATTGTTACACCCACCAATTCATCTGTGTCCTTAATGACAGCCACAAAACAGGTACCATGGCCAATGTTCGACATCAAGAAGTCTTTGCCGAAATTGGTTTCCTCTTTGGGTTCACTGCCAATGTTCAGAGGTTCATCGCGGAAGAAATATTTGCACAATAAATCCCAAATTTTTGCGCTATCTTCTTCCTTGGCCAAACGAATTTCGATGCCATTTTCAATATGAGGATATTGTGTGGTCATTTTATTTTTTAGTTTTTAATTACACTTTATGAAAATGAAATATTGTGTATTGCTTTAAGGCCGCGAAAAAGTATACAGAAAAAACGTGTGGAAGATATAGTTTTTATGACTTTTCGAATATCAACGATTTAGAAGTGTTATCACTTCCTCGAAATAAAAATCAACAAAAAACCCGATCGAAAGTTTTTTTTGTTTATTTTTATCAAATTTGTTTTTCTTTGATAATTTTGGAAAAGTTGTGTTAATATTTTTTGATGATTAAATGGTCGTATGGTTGCTATACAAAATTGAAATGATCTTTTTCATGCATTTTCAAATTGTGTACACAATTTTGATTTATCAAAAAAGAGGTTATTTGACTGGATTCATTAATCTCTTTTTTGGAAACTCCCAAAGTTAGTGAGCCTACTGATTATTTTAATAGAAACTGCTAACAATATCATACAATTAATTTAATCACATTAGGTTTTCGTATGTTTTCTCGGAAACAAATATAAATTATTACATTTTAATCTATTTTTTCATGACAATATTTTTTTAATCAATTTACATTTACATGTAGTGCACCGAACTTCCCTTGTAGGTATACGAAATATAGTCCAGGTGTACTTAATATTAAAAAATAAAGAAAACTAGTTAGAAAGTATCATTCTGCGTTGTCACCAAAAGTGTGTCCTCAGCCAGAAACGTACGTTATGGTGTCGAAATATGTTAAGGTCAATATTTAGGTTATAAATAGAAATCAAATCAATAATTGTAATTATCTTATTTTATATGGCTTTAAATATATTTTCTAACACATTTTTTTTTTTTGCTTATAGACATTTTTTTCAAACAATCAATACTTAAACAAGACTTACCACAACCACAATTTTCTGTCCTATTGTCCCTGAAAAATATACTTAAAATTCATGGTTATTGTCATTGAAAAATATCATAAAAATCCACGCTTATTGTTATTATTTCCTTGAAAAATTATTCTTCCACACATTTTGGTCCATAGAGACTAATATTTGCATATTTTTTTATTTTAATTTAAATTTGCAATTATATACACCAAATAAAATTAATATGTACATGAGTTCATATTTACAAAATCTCAATTACAAAATTTACAAGGAACAATTGTTTTTATATCACTAAACAAAGTCACTAAAATACTACTTTACAACAACAAATTCATTCCCATTTGCAAAAAGTACATCTTTCTTCTACAAATTCTTACAAACGAATAGCAAAAGTTCTGCAGCATTCGTGGGGTGGGGGAGGACGGAATACTTGTTTACCCTCAGCATCCAAATACTCCTTATAATAGGCCACATTAACACAATCCCAACCCAGGCGAACCTTGATGGCGGCCGAATAGAAGCTAGTGCAATCGGCAGTCAACAACTCGAAACCCAATTGTTTGCCAATGTCATTGACAGCATTGTAGAGGCGGGCACCAATATTCTTGCCACGCATTTTATCCTCAACACAGGTGGCAATAACATGCAAGACCTTCGTCACATTGTAGCGCTTATAGACATCGGCATCTCTTTCAACTTTTTCCAAAAATTTTAAAATTCTACCCCATTTTGTATTACCCTCTTCCTCGGCGGCCTTTGCTAAATGTTCAGGCTCATCAGGACCCTTGGGTCCGGCCATGGTAACACCCACCATTTCATTGGTATCTTTAATGATTGCCACAAAGCAGGTCCCATGCTCCAGGTGAGAAAGCAAGAAATCTTTACCGAAATTGGTTTCCTCTTTGGGTTCACTGCCAGAGGTCAGAGGTTCATCACGAAAGAAATATTTGCACAACAAATTCCAAACTCCTTCGCGATCTTCGTTGGTGGCCACACGAATTTCAATACCGTTTTCAATGTGAGGATATTGTGTTGTCATTTTGTCGGCTTTCCTATTGGAAATTGATAAGAACGTCAATTCAGTTGAACTACAATGTGGCACAGTGTCGTCGTGTATTGATTAAATGCCGCAACGAACTAAACTGAGTAAATGTTTTTTTTTCAGTGGCTATTAGAACAGCAAGATTTAGAACTGTTATCGCTTCCGCGACAATAACAAATAAATACTCAAAACCATGTGGAACTACTCACAATTATTTGTCAATGTCACTACGAATTCGGAACGTTTAGGCTCTACGCGGCTCTTTAAGAATAGAATTAATTTTGGAATAAATAATTCAATTTTAGAGCAAGCCTCCTCGGTGATGGTGATGTTAGTGTGGCGATGTGGTGTTGCCGTAATAAAATAAAAATTTGTGCTAATGTATAATTCAAAATGTTGTGAACCGTTGCTATAAATAATTTAGAGTGTAAAAATAAGTCGGTGCAGGCCTGGCCTTTGTTCCAACATTTGTTTGATTATTTACACAGTTGTTTAGTCCAAATGTTGTTATGACTACCTAGTCTTTGTATGGAAAAATATTCTCCACAAACTTATGTTGGTCCAATATTTTGATAAGAAAATTCTCAGATATGGATCGTGCTCAATTATCACTTTTATTTTCGGTCTTATCGGTTCTACCAGACAAACGCATGAAAATAAATTATTTTAATCTTTTTTCAAGTTTTTATTTTTCCAAAATGAATTGCAGTTTTATAGAGCGCAGCTACAATGATTACGTGTGAAAGGTACTCCGGAAAATATACCTCTGGAGAATGTATAGTTCAAGTGTACTTAATACACAAGGAAAACTAGTTAGATTCAGTCTAGACTAAGGCAGGGACGTTCGATTAGGGTGGGATCGTAAAAATTTTAAAATTTGGGTATGAGAAACAAAGGACGAATCATCAAAATTTTAGAAACTGTACACCAATTTTCATATACTAATAAATAATTTCAAATTTTTTCAGGAATCACAAAAACTGCATTCATTCAAATTTGGCGATAATGTCACAGGTATGATTTCTTATTAAGCACTCACTAATCTTTATGAACTGATATACTAAGTTGTGTTTGTTTTATTAATATGTTTACACTGTTCTGTTGATATTCAAAAAACATTTCAAAACTATTTTATTGATTCGTCTTCAAACTTTACAAACGTTTTGCATATACTCGACAGCCGTCATGTGGCGCTAATGGTGTAAATACTTGCTCCATATTCTCATCCAAAAAATCCTTATAGTAGATCGTGTGGACCAGATCCCAACCCATGCCTTGGAACATTTTTGCCGTAAACAAACTCGTGCACTCAACAGAAATCAACTCGAAACCCTTCTCTTTACCCATATCCACGACAGCTTTACTTAGAAGGGATGCAATTCCTTTGCCTCTCCATTCCTTTTTCACTGACACAATGATTAGATGAAGTAATTTTTCAATTTGGTAACGTTGAAATAAATCAGCTTCATTTCGTATTTTTGTTAGAAATTTATGGATTTTTTCACCCGTCGGATCATTTGTTTTGACCTCATAATTCGGTAGGGTTTTTTTCTTCTCTGGATTCTCTGAATCATTTAGTATGACTCCAATCAATTCATTGGTTTCTTCGTCAATTGCCATTAAACAGAGTTCCGAATCGATTAATGAGCTTAAAATTGTTTCGCCAAATCCTCGCTCCTCGTCCGGTCCGAAACATGTCGACAGTGGCTCATCTTGGAAAAAATATAATTTCAAAAATCCATAGACTTGTTGGCAGTCCGTTTGTGTTATGCGCCTTAGTTGTATATTTGAATGTTTATCCCGGTCCATTTGATGATATTTAATATTTCGAATTAATTTATCCGAATAGGCTGGGTGCTGCGCCCTTTAAAACAAGGCGATTACAACAAATGATGAAAGAATGTGAAATGGTCGTTTCATTTTTTGCGTTCTTATCAAAAAGCTCTCCATTGCTGACATACATTGTTTTATGAGACCAATAAACTTTGTTTGCTGTATTCTCAGGCATTGCATTGCATTTTTTTCAATGTTTGATATGTATGGCTAAATGGACTCTCTTCAGATGCAGTTGTAATCTAGTCGATTTTTTTATCTGTGGATTGAGTTCGCGCAGAAAATGCTTACTGATACAGTACAGTATTGATTCTTTAAATAGCACAGATTGTAATAATTTCATCAAATGGAAAGAGGTGTTCATAGTAAAATAACTCAAAAATCAAAAAATCAAATCAAAATCAAATAATTTATATGTTTTTGAATATTCACTAAAAAAATAAGTCATGTGAACGGGGTATCCGTTTGGATTCAAAATTTTAACAGCCTAATTAGGTTCCTCTCCCACCACAGTTGATAACAATTTTATAGAAATACATATTTTCAATAAAGGGAATGATGCATCCTATCAGGTCAGAATTTACCACACATTAATAGGTATGATAAACACAGAATTAGTGCAAATAATGGTCAACAAAGGCACCGTCCATTCTGGCATCTTTCCCACAAATTGTCTCAATTTTTAAATTACTAAAATCTTATAAAATATCAAATGGTTCCCAATTTGATGTAGAGCTTGCCTTTAATTTATTCAGCCAGTGTGGATAGTAAAAGTGCTCGACCTCAAAATATGGACCCGAACACCACAAAACACCGCAAAAAAAACTGTCCAAAATATCAGACTATGATTACACACCTGTCGACAACACCGACTAATAAATTCTAACAATTTTATTTTCTAAAATAGTACTCTCCCCTAACAGAATTTTCCAACTGTTGAAACATTGCTGAAACGTGTCATAATTAATCATTTTAATTAAGTCTTGTCACAATAATTTTTGTATATTCTTGTGAATTTTCCATATCTTCAGAGTTAGCGAAATCTTGGTCTTTTAGACCCCCAAAATATCGTTTATTTATATGTACGTGTATGCGAATAAAATGCTTGACCCTTTGAGCCCCGAATTGTTTCCTGTGAACATTTATCATTTTCTGTGCACAGGTTTTTACGAATATCTTAAAAAGGATATGTACAATATTTGACGTCACTACATCCTTGCATTGGGGAGATACTGTACATCCTTTCTGTAAAATAAAAGTCCAATATCGAGAAAAGCTAATGGAATATCCGCTCCAAAATCACTGTAATCGCTCTTTATGTTCTTTTTAACAATAATCGATAATAATTTTTAAGATAAAATTCGTAGAATTCGTAGAATAAGACACACATTTGTACTGTACACATTTTTGCCCTCAAATATATTTTGAAACGCGCATAACTTAACTAAAAATTACAATTTTTCTTTTGATATGTTGTGGGCAACATTGGCCCAAAATGGGTTAAAAACTACAATTTTATCACGTTAATTGTTATAATAGCATTTTCCGATTATTCACACGTATAATTTAAAAGGACAATATAAACAAAAATGATAATAATCGGTTTTACAGTAAAAATCCGTCTACAAAGAATAGGAGCAGTTCAAATTGTGTCCCAGGCCAGTTCTTTCAAAATTTCATCACATTCGACTTGTGGTAGTGTCTGTTGTATGAATATGCAAATAATTGTATGAATATGCAAAGAAAGACAACTCTTAAAAACTGCAAATTAATCTTGTTAGTTTTATAAAACACAAACATTTCTAAATTAATGACCAAACATGTTTACAAAATTGTAATTAAGATAAATGTTATTTAGGTGGACCCTTCTCATATATCAGTTTTATTGTAAAATTCGTTTAAGAAACTGGATGTTAGTGTGATAAGAATTTAAAATTCTATTCCAGACAAATTTTGTGTTTTTAATAAAATTAACATATCGTGCCAGGTTTTGTTTTCCATATTTCTAATTCCAAACATGGCATTAAAAAATTTACAATTCTTTCTAAAAAACACAGTAGTGTTTTTATTTTATACACATTTCTATAAATTATTTAAAAGGTACACCAAAGTCATTGTCTACAAATTTATTTTATTTATTTATTTTAGTTTATTTTTTAAATCAAAAAAATATTCACAATTATTCACACTCCGCATCCTTACAATCTCAAAGCATATGATCTACAGGCATCATGTGGTGCTGGGGGGCTAAAATACGGTTTGTTATTGTCATCCACAAATTCCTTGTACACAATCGTATTAATACAATCCCAACCAAGGCGTTCTTTGATTTGAGCCGAATAGAAACTGGTACAATCTGCTCTCAACAATTGATAGCCCTTCTGTTTGCCCAAATCTCGAACAGCATTATACAAACGGGAACCTAGATTTTTACCACGCATCGAACTATCCACACACGTTCCAATTATGTAGAGGATTTTTTCCACGCCATATCGTTGGCTCACCTTGGCGTCACGTTCAATGCACGCCAACATTTTCAAAATTTTGCCCCATTTCGTGTCACCCTCCTTGGCAGATTCTTCGAAAAGATGGTCAGCCTCGTCCACACCCTGTGGACCGGCCATACAAGCTCCAACCACCTTGTTGGTAGGTTTGTGTATCGCCATAACACTGGTGCCATATTTAATTTGATTTAGAACATATTCCTCCTCGGTAACTGAGGCCACTCCCATAGGTTCGGTGAAACCGGTTAATGGTTCATCTTTGAAAAAGAATTTCCGTAAAACTTCTAAAATTGCTTCGCGATCTTCCTCTTGTACAATTCTAAGTTCAATATCATCGTCATGGCTCATTGTGTGTGTGTGTCTATGTTTTATTTCTTCGAAGCGCTATGAAATTCTGATGTTGCTCAAACGATGTTAACAATACAACTGAATGGTTTTATTTTTCGAAACTAAGACCGATTTTATTCTCCCAGTTTCTTATCTATTATTAATTATTTCTATTCCATTGTAATGGTTATATACGATGTGTGTTTTTGATAAGAAGAGTTTTTGTTTTATATACAAGAGTAAATGTTTTAATGTCGCTTACAATGGGCTATCACTTAAAAAATATTTTTTGTCACATCGATTTAATTAATCGCATCTGAAATCGATTTCATTTTCATATAGGACTCTATAAACTTTACACATGGGAATTTCTGTTATTTCCAAATGTTACTATTTTTCCCCAATATTATTACCTGATTTATTATAATTTCCATTTCGTTATTTTGTGGCCAACCTAAACGTTCAATACCATTCTATAATAGTTGTTGCTTCCGCTTTCAAATCCTCCAATATAGCCTTACACCATAAGAAAAAAATGTCCATTGCCCTTGCACGTCGAATCTCAGTTAATTCTGTAAAAATTCTCAGCAATTTAGTAGGTTTCGAGGTTTTTTTTGCCATTCACCCTCCCTTTTATTTGAGATCATTTTGCAGTCTTGTCAAGGAATTGTCACCCTCAATCGCTCTATCATTGGTTTCTTCTGTCGTTCGTTTGCCGGTTTGCTTGGCTATATTAAAATATTCCACGCACGCCATGAATGAATCCATCTGTGAATGCAGCACGTTCTTCAATCAATATAACATATACGTCACAGTGCACATACATACACATATATAAAAACACAAAAGAGAGAAAGGATTTTTCTGTGTTGGATTTTCAAGGAGTGCCAGTGTGTGTGTGTGGCGATTTGGTGCCAAATAATGGTTTATTTATATAATCCGTTTATAGACTGCAATGCTGCTGCTGTCATTCAGTCGTCTGTCATTGTCATAGAAAGCCAATGGGCCTTTGTGTTTGTGTACACATAGAAATTTACTATTTAAGAATATTTTGTAATACTTGTTCTGGTGTCAAATCCAGTAGATTATTGATTTTGACTATACACAAATACTATTTTATCGTGATAACGTATGAGATCAGAATAGAATTTGTTAATTATTCTAAAATCTCAAAAGAAAAGACTACACCATGACCTTTACAAAGAAGTACATTAAATTTGTCTATATATTACAAATTTTTTAATATTTTAAAATTTATAAAAATATAAACCTAAACAGTTTTTGATTTCAACCTAATATTTAAAATGAGAACAGTAGTAATACAAAATTAATAACAACAATAATAGCTGACATTTCTTTTTCTCTTAAAAAAATAAATTTCTCTTTCATCTTTTATCAATATAATAAAAAGAAAATCTCTCTTCTTGAATAAGCGGCAATATGTTGTGGTCTCTTGTCAGTTCATTGATAAAGCATTCATCAGTGTCTCACACGATCGTAACGCCGCAATACGTTCTCTCTCCCCGCATTATCGGCAAATGCTCTGATCAGCTGTTGTGTCGACGACAACAAAACAACTGGAAGCAGTCAAAACAAATACGTCATCAGTTGAACAATCAGCTGGGCAACAGCAATCAATCTGGAAACATGGCAAACATTGATAATATTCGGATAAGTGTTATACAACCTGAAGATCGACAACGTGTTTTGGATTTCCTGCGAATCCACTACTACTGCGAGGAACCCCTAACAGTTGGCAGGGAACCCAAACAACAAGATCCAGCCGATGAGGAATTCAATTTGTCCAACATAAATCATGGAACATGCCTCATGGCAATTAATACGGAAACCGAGTCCATTGTTGGTGCCGTATTGGCTGGCCCCAAGGGGCCCGATGAGGCTGAACACCTTTTTGAAGAAGCTGCCGCAGAGGGACAATCAAAATGGGGAATTATTTTGAAATTTTTAGCTGGTGTTGAACGTGATGCCAATGTTTTTCAACGTTATGGCGTTCAGAAGGCGTTACACGCCCATGTACTGGGAGTAGATGGTGAAATGCGGGGCAAAAATATTGGAGGTCGTTTAATGTCGGAACTGATGCGGCTTGGCAAAAAGCTGGGGTATGAAATATTAACAGCGGATTGTACGAGTTATTATTCCGCCAGACTATGTGAACGTCTGGGTTGGGAATGTATAAATGCTGCCTATTACGCCGATTATGTTGATGATGTGAATAAGAAGCCCGTTTTTGTTGTTCAGCCGCCTCATGACTGTTGCCGGACTTTTGCTCAGCGCCTATAAGTAATAATGTAATTATTCTGTTGTATTTAATTTCTTTACAAAAAATAAATAATTGACTCGTGGTATTTGAGTCAAGTAATATGATTCCCTATATTAATCCACTTCCCGCCAACAATTTCGTAATATTTGTATCAAATTTGTGGTATGTAAAGATAACAGAAAACAGACAAAAATAAAGTTTTTGGTGTTGTCCTTGGACACAATCGGAACTTCATGAATGTTATTTGTGATTTGTCCATACCTACAGCCTGTAATTTTACAATATGTGGATCTCCCAGCAATATCGCGTGGTGTTACCTACTCTTGGGCTCATGCGAACTCAAAATAAATAACCACACAAAGTAATTAACTGTTACATGTTCTCAAATGTTATTCACAAAAATTAGTTTCTCTTGATTAAAGAGCAATATAATGTAAAATCTTTTCACAAATATATTGTGGTCTTTTGCCAGTTCATCGATAAAACATTAATTAGTATATCGGTCGTCTATTTTTCAATGTTATGTGGAAGCGGCTATAACAACGACGTACAAGTTTAACAAACATCTCGTCAATAGCTAATCGATCGGAAAATATGGCCAACACTGATAACATTCGGATAAGTGTTATTCAACCAGAATATCGTCAACGTGTATTGGATTTCCTGCGAACACATTATTTTCGTGAAGAACCTTTAACTATTGGCAGAGAACCCAGGCACCAAGAGCCAGACGAAGAGGAATTTATTCTGTCCATCATAAATCATGGAACATGTCTCATGGCAATACATACGGAGACGGAATCCATTGTTGGTGTCGCGTCATCGTGTCCCAAGGGACCCGATGAGGCTGAAAACCTATTTGAAGAAGTTGCCACTGAGGGACCAACGAAATATGGTATTATTTTAAAACTTTTGGCTGAAGTTGAACGTGATGCCAATGTCTTTCATCGTTATGACGTTCAGAAGGCATTACACGTTCATGTGTTGGGAGTAGATGCTAAAATGCGGGGGAAAAATATTGGAGGACGTTTAATGTTCGAATTGACAGTGCTTGGCAAACAGTTGGGATATGAAGTGATAACAGCTGACTGTACGAGTTATTATTCCGCCAGACTGTGTGAACGCCTGGGTTGGGAGTGTATAAATACTGTCTATTACGCCGATTATGTTGATGACGACAATAAGAAGCCGTATTTTGTTCCCGAGCCTCCTCATAATTGTTGTCGGACCTTTGCTAAACGACTATAAGTAAAAAACAAATAATTTTGCTATTTTAGTGTTTTTATTAATACACAAAGTATTTGTTTAAAAAATAAAAACTGTAAATAATATATTATGATGTAAATTCGAATATGCGCAATTTAATTGACATGTCCATATATGTATATCTTCGTGGATTTTTTAGTGGAATATCATAGGAATTGTACCATTACAATTCAGCGCTGATACCACAACAAAGTTGACATTTGGAAACAAATGGAACGTTTGATAAATAAATGGTGCTGTGAATGCTGGCATCAGTTATGGTTCCACAAGTAGAAACTATGCTGAAAATTATGGCAATATATTTAGGAGTTTCAAATTTAGTTAAAAGTTAATCACATCTTAAATCGATGGGAATTATATTGGTATGAGGTCATACAGATGTCCAAGTGAAGGCACTAGCAAACCCTCAACCATGTCGTGGCAAATCAAATTAAATATATTATGTATTTCATAAAAAATATAAAATTCCTATACAGTTCAAATTATTCAAATCGCCCTCCAAGTTATTTTTGAATCTTTTAAAAATAAAAAAGTTGGAGAATAATTAAAAGTAATATTTCTTCGGTATTGCATTTGCTTTTCTTGATATTGGACATTTACTCAAGGGGTTATTAGATCTGCATTTCCTTCTAATTTTTATTTTTTACAAATCAATATTTGTTTTTAGCTACCCTACCCTAATTAAAGCCCAACAACAAATGCATATCAAAATTCTACAACAAAATGTTTGCTCACTATTTTGTCCATCTTTTATAGATATGATAAACAGAAACAGCTGATATATTATTTCCTTTGCAAAAAAGAAAATTCCAAGAACCTATCGAAAAAAATTCCCAGCGATAACGAAACAAAAATGCCTTGCGCAATTGCACTGCCAATGGCTGGTCTCTTGACAGTATATTTGAAAATCGTTGTTCAGTATTGCACCTGATCGCTAAGCTGCAATACATTCTCTTTTCCTCCGACACCTAATTCGTGTACGAACTCTAGTTCTTATAATCCTCAGTAAACATCCTCTTAGCTATCAATAAGGAAACATGGTACACATTGATGATATTCGGATATGTGTTGCACAACCAGAAGATGAACCGCGAGTTTTAGATTTCCTGCGTATTCATTACTACCTCGAAGAGCCATTGACAGTCGGCAGAGAACCCAAACAACAGGATCGAGCCGATGAAATATTCAATATATCGAATATCGTCCATGGAACAAGTCTGATGGCGATTCACACAGAAACCAATTCCATTGTTGGTGTCGTTTTGACCGGCCCCAAGGACCCCGGTGAGGCAGATCACTTATTGGAGGAAGCTGCCGTTGAGGGTTCCACCAAATGGGGTATTACCCTGAAATTTTTAGCCATGGTGGAGCGTGATGCCAACGTATTTCAACGTTACGGAGTTGACAAAGCTTTACATATTCAAGTACTGGCGGTAGATGGGAAAATGCGTGGTAAAAATATTGGAGGACGCCTAATAACGGAATTAGTGGAAGGGGGTAAACAATGGGGATATGAGGTGGTATCTGCCGACTGCACAAGTCATTTTTCAGCCCGACTATTGGAACGCCAGGGCTGGGAATGTATAAATACCGTATATTACAAGGACTATGTGGATGCCGGTTTTTGTTGTTAATCCGCCACATGAATGCTGTAGGACCTTTGCTCGGAGGCTATAAGTTATAAGTCAATTAGTCGCGTTTTTCAATTTGTTTTCATTAGAAATAATTATATCTAATCAAAAAGTGATAATAGTACGTAATAAAATGTGAAGGTGTCTGTAGATCAATGGAAAGTTTTTTGGTTTGCTTTCATATTTCGGGGAATTTCTCATACCTTGAAGATGACCAAACAAAAAAATTAATAAAACGTGACACAAAATATATGTTTTTATGTCATTGTGAAATAATTTGGCTTGTCATTTGGTGACACGCGTTCACACGCACTGGGCTTCGTTGGGTGTCCGTCGATTGGAAATATTAAACAAATTGACATTATCTTTGGTTTTTTGTTAATCGAATGTGGAAAATTTTGATGTGAATAAAATTCGGAACATAACTAAAGAGAATATTTGGTGATGATGTTTTGAGTATTAATAGAACAAATAAAATGTCTAAAGTGATATCGAAAAGTCGTAAAACTCACATTATGCGGAGCGAAGATGAATAATATAAATATATATTAAACCTCATATTTTTCTATATCTAAGACCTTCAATATACCAAAAAAGGGGGCGGGATATTTATACCAGAGATATGTCAGAGTTTGGACACACAATACAAATTTTCTGCAAAGAAATTGTTAGCCTAATGTCAGGTTATTACGATCGGTATACAAAATGACACTCACTTTAAAGTCTTACCCTTTATATTAAATTTCATACCCTGTAATACCACTTTTCCCCCACTTGAAATCTACCAGACTATGTTGGCGATACTTAATTAGTTTTCACAAACAAAATCGTAGGTTCCCTTCTCAGTTTTTGTGTACTGCAAGATTTAATGTGCAACATTCATTCATTCGCTCGGCAGTGTGGCAAGTATTTGATTTATAAGCGTAAAATAGTTTTACACCTGAATTATAGCAATTTTCGGTACACGGAAATTAAGTTTATTTCGTTATTTTAATGAGTCCATAAAGAAATTGCAATTGGGATCTGGGGGATGGCGGGCTTGAGGTCAGACACAAGGAGCAAAGCTGTTGCAAAACAAAAATGCAACTGCAGTTATGGGGCAAAGAACAAAGTCAGTCAGCCAGCCTGCCAGGCAGCCAACCAAGCAACAAACCATAAGCGTTCGCTCTAAAAACAATGCCAGCTAAAATATGCAAAACAAAATATAAAAAGTTTACACTACCGCACATGAATTGCGAATGGGGTGGAATACAACGTCTGTACAAAGTTTTACCACAAAGGATGTGCTAAAGGCAACGAACGGCCAGCCGACAAGGAAAACAACAGCAACAGTTATAATAAAAAAGAGAAAAATAAAAACAAGTTTTGCCAGGTACACATGGTGTGGACTACAACAGGAGGCAAAAAACATGGCTTCTATATAATTCGCTTTTTTATTTAAATTACCACATAAATTTAACACAACAGAATTTTTCATATTCAATATGATTTTGTATTTCGTTTTCGTGTTTTTGTTTTGGATGGTGAAAAAATCACATTTATGCCTCCCTGAAAGTATGCAATATTCTACTAAGTGAACAATGTGTGTGTGTGGTGTGTATGTGTGGGTTTATATTTGTGCATGTAGTTAAGTGCTTCTTCTCATCATTATCAACACGAACCAAAAACAAAAGCAACAGCAAAAACGCTATAGGCAATATATTTATTGTGCCATAAATAATGCGGCAACCAATTTTTAAATTAAACACCGACCGACAGGAGGTGTTTACCGCCATAATCGAACATCGATGTGTGTCAGTCAGGCAGCCAGCCGGCCAGCAAAGGCCGTATTTGCAGAAAAAATCATTACAAAATAAATAAAATTATAACAAGAAAGCTGTAAGAGAGAGTTATGGTTAGCAGGATCGACCATATATTATCCTACACTGGTAACTATATGCGGAATATACATGCCCATGCACATGGCAAGTTAGACAAAAGATTTCGACTTAATATAAGGTAATCTTTCTATGTTAATACATGGAATATATATACATGGGTATTTGGAATGATTTTGGAAAATCTGTCCATGAGTAACATGAACGTTAAGCAGTCAAACAGATGTGGTGGGAGGGTGAGGATAGAAAATTGGTTTATGGTATTTGAAAAAGGAAGGTCCTTTAAAAGAAATCGCTAAAAAAGAAAAGTGTCCAAGACAAAGCACTGCTTTACAAACCAGTGAAACCTATGACAATACTTCATTTATTCGTCTTCGAATCGCTTCCCTTTTTTCATCTTTCATCTACAGGCAGGTCAAGTTCGAAGATGGGCTATATCGGATTAGGCCATATAAGGGTCCCATATAAGGGTACGCCCCAATTTTCGGTATTTTGGGGTTCTTGAGCGCGTTTTCCAACTGAATTCTGATTCTAAAATTTGGTACATTGGGTTCTTATTGAATACCACATATCTCCACTAAAAATTATAAATATCGGTCCCATTTTTCTGGTAGCCCCCACATAAGGGTGCCCCAATTTTTGGTATTTTAAGGTCCTCGAGTGCGTTTTTCAACAGAATTCACTGTAATTTGGTATTTTGTAGTCATACAAACCTCCCTACCAACAATTATTAATATTCACCCCCTTTCAGGGTAGTCCCCATAAAACCCCCATTTTTATGGGGTTGTCCCCATATGGCGAATTCTGCCATAGTAGGGGGGATAATCGTTATTCGGAATAGTCAGTTTTTACCCTACAAAGTGTGGAATTCTAAGACGTTTTAGCCATTTGTTGCAATCATTCCGCCTTTTAAAGATATCGTTATAAAAAACTCGAACCTGACGATATTGTTTTTGGTGTACATAGGGGTTTACATAAATCGGTTTATAGAATTATCGGTATAGGTCCACTTTTTGCTATGTCCCCTATATTCTCATTGCTAGTATTTGTCAGTATACCTATGGTGGAGGGTATACAATGTTCGGCCCGGCCGAACTTAACGTTTTTTCACTTGTTCTTTCTAGTTTGGGGACAGCCAATTTCAGGTTGTCCAATTCAAAATTGCAGGCTCCCAGTGCGTAAAAGCATTAAATTGTCAGTATAGGTTCAAGACCCAAACCGTATTTTCATCACTTGCGATATCTTCGTGAATAAATTTGATGAAATAAGATGATTCTGAAATAGCTACACATGTATCCTGACCACAACTACATACCAAAATGTGAATGTAATGTTTTCACATAAAATTTATTGAAAAACAGAATTAAAAAACGTGGGAATTTTAATTTAAAGCTTACCTACGTTGCTGACGCCGGTTTAATTGTTGTCGTTACTATTGTTTTTGTTTTATTTGATGTTTCAACAATAAATTCATTGCAACTACAACAATGTGCAATGCTCTCAATTTTTGTTTTTTGTTTTTATTCACTTTAATTTACTTATCTAGGTCGTTTTCAACGCGGTTACAAAATAAGCTTCTCTGCTTGTTGCAGTTGCAAGATTTTCTGTTTATTTATTTTTTTTCTGTTGATGTTGTAGTCGTGCTGACTGGCAAATAATTTGGGCTCCTGTCATTTATTTTCAATTTCTTTGTTTTGCTTTTATTTTTTAGTTGTGGTAATTCTTATTTTCCTCTCTGCAATTTTGTTTTTGGAATTTTTTGTTTTAATTTTTTTGTTTTTGTGAGGGAGGCACCACTGCAAATTAACTGACTTCCGCCGGCATGACAGTCAATGCAGTGCAATTTCGGTGTGCTGTGGTGAGTAAATATGTAGGTATGTGTGTACATTTTCGGGTAATATATTTATTTGCCAGTTTTTTCGTTCATTTTTAATTTGTGTTTTTTTTTTTTTTTTTGCCAGCGCCATCAAGAGGAGTAAAAGGTTATTGGCAGTTAAGAAAATTGCTTAATTACAGGAACGTAGACTGCTTTTTTGAGGAAGTGTGGGATATTTCACAGATTTAATTAACGAAGGGACACATTAAAGTATAAAAAGATATCCAGATAACTGATATCAACAAATGTTGATGAAGTTTTAGGTAAACTTAGCTTGGGTCGGTTATATCACATTTATATAAATAAATGTTTTCTGTAGAGATAATAATTAGAAATCATTTTAATCGAACAAGTAAGGAATCTAGCTTCCAGAGTCACCGAAGGGATAATAGCCTGGGGATAAAAAATGTCAAACATTCCATAATCATACCAGACCACATCATATCCTAAGCACTTTTCTGAACCATGGGAAGGTTGGTTATGACTATTTCAGATAATGTGAATGGCTGCTCTCTTAGAAATATGAGAGACATGATCAATACTGCACCTGATTTTTATATATCAGTTTAAAACACAGTCGGGCGAAGCACCGCACGCGTGCTCTCTCGCGAGAGTAAATATCACTATTCTCTCACACACATTCAACTGAACCAATTGAAAAACCATTGACACACACACAAAGACAAGTGCGTGAGAACAGAATTTTTTACGCTCTGCCCGTGCCTGGTTTAAAATATCCAAGCTAAAAATCTCAGCGTATCCGACGATTGATGATATTGAACGTAATGGGCTTCGTCGTATGACTCAAGAGTGTGAGAAATTATTGCCGACGTTAGCAAACATAAGCGGAAAAGTAGACAAACCCACTGAATTACGAATAACTTTTAAATTAATCTGGACTTTTTGGACTACTGTATGATGTTCGTCAGAGCTAGTTTCTTTTTAAATATATTAAAATACTCGTCTTTAGTTCAATCTGATTTAAACATGTACGGTCCCCATATCTCCTCCTAGACGCACGTCTATGGTTTTACATTAAATTGCCTATGCCACAATGCCAATTAAATCTTTTATCTGTTGCAGCAAAAGAAAATTAAGTTATCCACAACGACCAATAACGCCCCCCAATGATTGCATCCTTCGTCGTATTCTCAATATTTGTTTAATTGTAAGCCTACGTCGTAACGGTATGTGAATGCGTTTTGTTCGTACGGTATCATAGGTTTGGTGAGAGCGTGTGTATGTGTGTG